TGATGATTGGTCGATAAATGTGAAGGTGTATAATATATTAAAGTTCTTTGGGGACCACATACGGTCGACAGATTTGCTACACACTACAATAGTCAGTGTGCATGTTTCAATTCAAAATGTTGGTGTCCAGAGACCGGGGCATTGATGCAATTTGTCAAAACTGATCAGGGGAAAACAACTGGCTTGTGCCTCCACCTACAATAGTACCAGCAACGTTGCGTAAATTGGCAACAGACAGGGCGAGGGGAACACTAATTGTACCACAATGGCGATCTTCGCCGTTTTGGTCATATTTATGTCCCAAAGAAGGGAAATTTGTACAGAATATCGTAAATTGGCGATATTTGCCGTCGACAGAAATAATACAAAAAGGAATGGGAAGAAATGGCATATTTAGTGGTCAGTATATGGCATTTCATATGCTAGCACTGCGTATTGATTATACGAGTACTTAATGTAATATTATTATGTTGCAGGTCTAAATTTGCAAGAAAGAGTGCAAAGTGAGTTGGAAGGCGAGACGATTGATGAGGAGATTATCAACATAGCAAGTCAGATGACCAGTAGACTGTTAGATGCTAGAAGTTCGCATACAAATACTAAGTACTTTAGTGCGTTTAGAAAATGGAAGGTTTGGGCAACAGCAAAAAATGTAGAGGTGTTGCCAGCAAATCCTATTTTTGTAGCATTATATATTACAAAGCTGATTGAAGAAAAGCATAGTGTTAGTGTTATTAATAGCGTAGTGTATGGTATTAAGTGGGCTCACGAAATTTCTGGTTTTGAAAGCCCTACATCTCACCCATTTATTAGGAATTTACTAGAATCGGCTAAAAGATGTTGCGGAAGACCAGTGCAGCGGAAAGACCCGGTGACACCAGAAATGTTGGTAGAGTTGTGTTCGAAGTACAGTGACCCCTAGCTAAGTCGCGCCTTGGATGGCTCCCAAAATTTCTATTGTGTTTTGACAGCAGTTTTGAAGTACAAAGACTAATGTTTCGTGGCATAGTGTTTTTAACTAAACGTTAAAGAGACAACTTAACACCTATTGTCCGTCAATTGCTGAGATGCAATGGGTGACGAGGGCCTTACTCAAGGTGTCAACTGGGGTGTCGAGTAGTGACGGTACGTACTTCTCGGCCGGTCCAATTTTGGTATACCTATAAAAAAAAACTTGCTACAATGAGTTGAATTCATTATTTTATCTCTATTTCTCGATTGAGCAGCATGTCAAAGTGAAAGCTATCCAGCCTGTTCGTACGCCATAAACTCGCAGTGATCGACCGTGTCAAAAAGAGGTGAAACCAAGTTAAGGGTTGCACGTGATCTAGCAGTGGTTGAGCCCACTATTTGTGGGTAGGTAAAAAATAAAAAGTAAATTTGTTTTCAAAGTTGACCAAGACGCGGGACTGAACAGAAAAACGGGCGAAATTGTCCGAAAATGGTGACATCTATAAAGCTGTTTACGTTTCTTCAAGAACGGTCTGACGGAACTCCACTCTCTGGTCCCATCACCCAATGCAAAGCACATACAACTCAGACATGACCATGATATGACGACTTTGAATTTGAGGTCAGTTCAGGGTGGTTCTTGCGATGGCAAAGAAGACACGCTATCAATAAACGCAGTCTCAATCCAAGGCGAAGCTCGATCTGTGAACATGGACGCTGTCAGAACTTTTCCCGAAAAACTGATAGAAACTATCTATGAAGGTGGTTATTTTGATGAACAAGTTTATAATTGCGATGAAACTGGTTTATTTTGGAAGCTGTTACCGTCAAAGTCGCAAGCAACAGCAAACAACCCACATTATATCGGACACAAACAAAATAAACAATGCAATGTTTACAGCAAACATAGTCATGATTTTATTCGAATACTGCCTGACACATGTGATGATACATCAATTAACTAAACTGAGGGTTTATATGTGCTTTTTATATGTTTTTCAATGCACGACCTCCCTCTTTCACGACGTCCCTCGGTAAGTCGCGGCCCTCGATAAGTCACAGTTCTTGCTTGGATCCCGACACCCGCGACTTAGCGAGGGCCACTGTAAAAGACACTGGTGACGTTGCAGTAACTTGAGATATTGCCATGATTACGTTATCTTTTTCAGCATTTCTACGTTTTGATGAGTTGAGTAGAATAAAATGTAACAACGTGCATTTCCATGGGGAGCATATGACGCTCAGTATTGAGTCTTGTAAAACTGATCAGTATCGGAAAGGAAATGAAATAGTTTTAGCAAAATTGACATCAATTTCATGCCCGTATTTTAATCTTCAAAGATATGTTAATGTATGTAAAATTGATTTGGAGAGTGATTTCTACTTGGTTCAGCCTTTAGTTTTTACAAAGGATTCTGTAAAATGTATTTCAAAAAACAAACCTTTAAGTTATACCAGGGCGCGGGAAACCCTTGTCGCAAGATTGAAAGAGGTTGCCGACGATAAACTTAATATTGGGTTACACTCATTACGGTGCGGGGGAGCGACAGCTGCGGCTAATGCCAATGTCAATGAAAGATGTTTTAAACGTCATGGTAGATGGAAATCCGAAACTGCAAAGGACGGATACATTGAGGATTCACTGGAATCTAGACTGCTTGTATCCAAAAACCTTGGTCTGTAATCAGATATTTTCACTTCCCCTTTCTTTAGTGGAGTCTAAAGCTGCCGCATCTCTGGCTCATCCATCATTATTGATTGAATGAAGTGTAATGGAATTTATTCAATGGTATAAGAGTATAGTGAAGACGATATTGTTACCTTAAAAATGTGGGTATTGAAATAAAATTATCAAATCAAAATGTTGAAGCACCCTCTAGTGTTGTATTAGGGAAATACCTTGAACAGTGCCCTCTAGTGACATAGGGGGTGAGGGTGTGATCAAAATCAAACCAGCCGTTTTGAGCTAATTGCTGCCCATTAATAGCATTGTGTAAATAGTGTGTTTGCTTATCTATCAAAGCGTTGATTTCACAAAAATGCTGGTCATAAATATTTACATAGGACGACTTGCGTTATAGTGAGCACTGATTTTAATATAAACAATTATTTTCCAATAAAAAAGAATTATAGTGGATCGCACTGAAATAAAAACTTGTGCTTTGCGGAACTTTGCACCCTGAAGTTTGAATAAGAGTCGGCAACTTTCCCCAACTTTCACGTAATAATACTGTCTCCATAAGCACATTTACATAGATTTAACAAAATTACAGGCCGTAAATATTTGCAGTGTCACATTGCATTGTTGACGTAAAACATTGGATGCCTTGCGTTATAATTTCTTGTTCTGATTTGAACAACAATTATTTCTATTAAAAACGAACTGAAAGAATAAATCATACGCTGTAATTAATAACATCGTGACTATGCAAATTTAATAAAACACTAGATCGGCAGTACAATTTCTAAAGTAAAATACCATCACATCCGAATTCTACAAATATTAACAGCTATAACCATAGTAAACAATGGAATTATATAATGCCATCATGACAAACCATCAAGATCAAACTTTGTGAATACAATTAAGACACTTTCGTTGACTTAGATGCACTAAAAGGAATTTTGGCTCCCTGAACTTTGAGTAAATTTCTATTAATTTTTCAAACACCAGGAAGCTACTTTTTCTAGTTGACTAGTTGAAGCTGTTCGTATTCAGACAGAAGAAAGGCAGTTTTCAGGTGACTTCATTAAACGCTAATTAGTTAAATCGTTGGAGCTCCGCAAAGCTTCTCAGAGGACATGGTAGCTTCCTGGGCCGGAAACCGCTTGTTTGATTGTAACTCACCTCCCTAAATGCATTATCGAATTTTCATTGGTATTTAATTTTCACAATTTTAATTTCAAACGCCAGGCAGCTATTTTTTCTAGTTGACTAGTTGAAGCTGTTCGTATTCAGACAGAATAAAGGCAGTTTTTGGGTGACCTCATTAAATGCTAATTAGTGAAATCGGTGGAGCTCCGCAAAGCTTCTCGGAGGACATGGTAGCTTCCTGGACCGGAAACTGCTTGCTTGTTTGATTGTAACTCACCTCCCTAAATGCATTATCGAATTTTCATTGGTATTTAATTTTCAAAATTTTTATTTCAAACGCCAGGCAGCTATTTTTCTAGTTGACTAGTTGAAGCTGTTCGTATTCAGACAGAATAAAGGCAGTTTTTGGGTGACCTCATTAAACACTAATTAGTGAAATCGGTGGAGCTCCGCAAAGCTTCTCGGAGGACATGGTAGCTTCCTGGGTCAAAAACTGTTTGCTTGTTTGATTGTAACTCACCTCCCAAAATGCATTATGAAATTTTCATTGGTATTTAAATAACACTATTTTGATTCATGAATGATATAGTCGAAAGATGACTTCTAAATGTGATTATATATGTTTACGTGGATTTAATTAGACAAATTTTATTTTAAGGTACAATAATACCTGAATATGTGCATATTCTAGTAATAATAATAACCCATTTTATTGTGTTACAAGGCCTCCAGCCCATATACAAAGTGAAAAAACCAAAATATAATTACTTTTGAGTAGCTTTATACCTTGAAACATATCAAACCACAAAATAAAATCTTTCATATTTTTTCAAAATTTTTATTACAATCTGTAGTCAATAGAAAATTATGTCCATTTGGTCCAGAATTAGGGGGGGGCAGAAAAATACAGAAATACGAGCAAAATGTAGCACTAAAATTTTAGTGGGAAAATTATGGTGTTTAACTGGCTAATGGAGCTATGATAGTGATGGTAAAGGGGGAAGCAAAGCATAGGATAGGATAGGATAGGATAGGATAGGATGGTTTAGATGAAGTTATGGCCAACCTTCATGACCCAGTGCATGATGGGGAAAATTTTAGTACAACTCAGATAAATTGAATGATTTAATAGGGTGCACCAAGAAGCTGATTCATCAATCAACGTTTCAGTAACAACTCAGATAAATTTCAAATTTAAACAAATATAAATACATCAAGTCATATTTGACCTGATAAAATCATGCGACTTTAGGCTCAATTTCCCCTTAGAAAATAAATCTCAAAATGCAAAATATGAAAAGATCGTGGCATTAGTGATGACAGATTTGTAGTGGGATTACAGCCAATTCTGTATTATGGCACGGAGGAATTAATGAATCTTAGCTGGCTAAGACGAGAATGGGATGATTACCTGGATTCGCTGACATGTTGTTGTTGTTACTCATCTGTAAGCTATTAGTAGAACCAGCGAGGCTGCTAGTAGTGACCGTGCTATAGGCAGATTTACATGAATTGCTTGGTAACTGATGGGATGTGTGATGAGGGACATCTCCTCCTAGAAAGAATTTCAAAATTAACAATCAAACCAGGTTGGAGATGTTTAATATTAGTATTACAATGACTAAAGCTCACTTTAAGTATTTTTATATCAATGGATCATTCTCTCACCAGTGTATAAATTCAATAAATTATATATTCATCCTACATTCTTGCAACTTGTTTAGTTAAAATGTGTTTGTGATATCAAATCGCTTATTCGTGAATTAATATTCCTAATTCTCTTAAACTCAACCCATATAGACATGTACATTTATTTCACCAATGTTTAGTGGCGGCATTTTTTTTATGTAATGTGCAAAGTAAAGTTGCTCTCAAATTTGAATCACGGTACCAACACGCCCCTGAAACATACAATTATACTAGCCCAAACAATAAATTTAGTCCTTAATCGTACAGGGCAAACAACGTTGATGAAGCAGCGATCCTGAGTGCCAGTGAGACGCAATGGTTTAACACAAAGATTTGTGAATTGTTTCCTGCAAGCAGATGCATTGAAAGCCAATCTTGTGCACATTTTTTACTCATTAATCAAATCAAGTCAGCAAGATTGACAATCAGGATAGACTATGTTTAAATGCATACACGACTGACTCCGGTAATGGAGCATGTAGCAATAGAATTACATGAAGACATACGCCATCACATGAGGGCGCTGTGCCTGTCTCCCTGCAACTAGACCATAAAGAAGGCCAACTGGGGTTACCAACTAAGCAAATACGACTACGAGAAAGGATGCAATTTTATTTTTAAAAAAACTTTTATCAGGTGTGTTTGAATACAAAATACAAGAAATAAAAATAAACAATTTTTAGGCTGCCAACTTTCACTGAGACACTTCTTATAGAGACATTGTCTAAAATATAGATGAGTGGAATCACTAACTGCATACACTTACCCTGTGATGATTCAAACACTTGCTTGTAAAGACTTCGGAACGAGGCACTCAAATCATCAAAGTTAGGGTTAGATTCAAATAATCGTGTTGCAATTGGATCCAAATGTCCAGGATGTGAATGCTGTAATTAATGCAAATTAAATTCATTAAATGTGATAAGTGATATGAAAAAGACAAACAGTTTATTTTATTAAGAGGCAGGTGTTTAATTTAGCCTGCCGTTCATACTACATGACTACCTACTCAACAATGTGTACTTTATTTTTCACTTGAGTATTTTTTACTGTATTCACTGAAGGAATGAATCAATGAAAATAAAATGTAGTGTGCAGACATTTTCTGCTACATTGTATATTCAAAATTTATCTCATCGAAAATCAGTTAAATTAAACACCATACAAAACATTCAAAATTAATTCAGCAAAAGCAATCCTGGATAAAATATAAAGTATTTTACAGTATACCATACTACTTGACCTCCTACTTTTTGCAGTTGAACCTTTCTACTAAACATTTTAGAGGAAACCCCTAGACTGTCATTTTGAGTGTAAATTAAGAGTGGACAGAGAGCCATTTTTCAGTCCAAATTAGGAATTGACAGTAAACTCTCCCGAGTCCATATTAAGAGTAGGCAGTGTACTCTAGAGACAAAATTAGGAAAAGTCACTTTACCCTTAATCCAAGTCAAGAACATTCAGTAGATTTTTGAAACAATACCACAGGGGATTTTTCCCACTGATACAGGATAAACGACGTTCATGTCAGCAAACCATTCCCATGACAACAATGATGATATGCAAATGACATCATTTCTCATTGCATATAGGTGTTGATCAAAATTATATTTCATACATTGTAAAAAAATATTTATTTTATGAAAGTTGGCAAAATCAAAGGCTAACTAAAAGGCTTTACTCTAAGCCAAGTCAACTTTTTCATCTTTCACAAAGTAAAACAATTTTTTTTTCCCTTAAATTGGTTCAAAAATTTAAAAAATACATAAAAACAGGCAAAAAGTTAAGCAATGATGGTACTCAAATAATCAAGGGTTTAATATGCACCGTAAGTATTCTAATTTGAATGTCACAGTAATTTTGGCGTCAGACAAGAATGAAAGGCCTTGATTTAAAAAAACAAAAAAAAATTCAGAATTTCCATGTGATTTTAATTTTAACGTAAAGTGCATTGTCTTTATTTAATTTTGTTAGTAATAACAAGTGTAAAGTAAGTTTCAAATGTCCAAATATTCCTGGACAAGTGGGGAGACTTCAATTGTTAATGGGTATTCAGTGTCTATTTTGTATGGGTTATACTAGCTGTGACATTTGTTGTATGTTGACATTGTGCTGTAAAGAATTTCTATTGTATGGAATAAAAGATAGTTAGACCAAAAAAAACCCAGTAAGTTTCAAATAAAAACAAACATGAAGACATTGCTTTAGTAGCTAGCTACATCTTAGCTTATTCCATTTCATGTAACCTGTCTTCCAATCAGCTTGGAGTACTTGAATAATAGACATGACAGTTCTTGTTGTACTAGTCTGTATTGCATGCATAATTTTGGACATCATTGTATCAATAACCAGAACCAGACTTAATCTACCAATTTTTGAAAATAGTGGAATTGCGGACAAGAACTGTGTAAATGTGCAAATGGGATATAAGTATAGTGCACTGTACTTACTAAATTTATCTGTGCTAACGTTGGTGCAGGACCACCTAAACTGGCGACACTGTTTTGGCTTTCATGCAAACTACCTTCTGGACTGTATGGTGAAGACTGTAAAAAAGCAAAGATATGAATTTACAATTGATGTACACTCAATTAATATAAGGCCATATTTTTTATATAAAATCCCATGATATTTTCCATTACCAGAATTTTGACGTCAAGTGATTTCCACCAGGATTACATATCAAACCTAGAGTGTATATCGCGGGACTATACTTATACATATATCACATGAATATTCTGTCTACAGAGATAACACATATGACTGGTGAACATAGATCTACTCCTAATAGCTACATGTAGACATGAATTGATACACTTCTCCACATGTATGTATTCCTTTAGTTCATAAATATTTACAGCAAGTATTGAAGCAGCAAGGTAATAGACTTGCTCACTAATTCATCAACCACTAAAGCAGATGACCTGCAATTTGAATACCACACTTCATTTTGACAAATGCTAGTAAATATCTAAAAACAGTATTTTAAATAGGTTTAAAAGGTTTTACATGACTGTAAAGTAAGTAATATTGTTTGCGGTGGTCAAATCTGCTCAGACTTGTTGTAATAAAATTAAAATCATTTCCACATTTGCCGATAAAAACATTGGAATAAATATTCCTAAATAAAGGTAGTTTCTCCCTGCATGAATTAGAGTTATTTTTTGAATATGTATCTGTTCCGCTTATTTTAAATTTCTGGAAATTTCCTCAGTGAGAAGCTCAAGTGTTACAGAGTAATTGGACAATCTAGGAAGCATTCTTTTTAATTTCATGTATTTTGTGTATTCATGAAACTCGTGGAGTAATTTGAAAGTGAAATCCCAATATTTTGGTGTCAAATTTTCTTAAGGGAAAAACACATGAACGTATGGTATAAACTACCATTATCAATTTGGTAGTGCATACAATAACCTTGAGAGATGTATTATAGTTGAGATTATATGGCAAGGTGTAAAGGCATTACATGCAATTGATAATAATAATTTGTGTTAATATTCCATTATAAAAACACAAATGGTGTAGTGTACTGCACTGATTTGTGTTAATACATGTACATGTAATCTCTTACATAAAAGAGAACTGCATTTTGGGTGTGGTGGAAGGGACACATGGTACTTCACTGACTCGTGCTAATATACCCTTACAAATCATGGAAAAGAACTGTTAGGGGTGTGGCAAGAAGCACACATGGTACTTCACTGACTTGTGCTAATATACCCTTACAAATCATGGAAAAGCACTGTTAGGGGTGTGGCAAGAAGCACACATGGTACTTCACTGATTTGTGCTAATATATCCTTACAAATCATGGAAAAGCACTGTTAGGGGTGTGGCAAGAAGCACACATGGTACCGGATGTACACTGATTTAATAGTCCCTTACACAACACATACATGTACAGCACCTGACACAGTAGCAACTCATGATTAAACTTTATCGTTTTTTCTTCTCATCAATTTCCCGAAGCAGTTTACAAGAAATTGCCAAACAGATAAAGTGTGAAAAATGATTGTGCCTATATCACTTTGTAGTTAACGACGAGCCCACGAGGAAGAAGCCTTAATTTTAGCAGCTCCCTCGTGTGGACCATTAAACAATGTCATGGGTATACTGAGTAGAGGGAGCAATCAATCATGTCTGTAAAGAACCCGATGAATGCATGGCAGCAAATAAAGAAGGGCAAATACTGGGATAATTTTAACGAATCTAAGAAGTCAAAGTTATACAGACTTAATTTCAACCTGTCTAGGGAGTCAAGGGACAATGGGATAATTTCAACCAGTCTAAAGAGTCAAGTAATGGAGGAGGGAGGGGGTAATGCAGCAAATCACAAAGACAAAAACTTAAATGCTCAACAATGGCAAATAATATAATAAATTAATATTTCAGAGAAAAGTTTTTTGTTTTGTTTTTTTATACAAACAGGTTTATAATTTTATAGACAGCAGAAATGTAGTAGAAGCAATGACATAAAATCATGTATAACATAGCTCAAAATTCAGTTTGAAGTACATTGACTTTGCTGCCTCAATTAAGAGTCATTTCAATGCCATTACAAACAGCTACATTTGCCATTTTTTACATGGGTTAGCTTGAAGAACATCAGAATATCAAAGTTCAGGTTCTCGTACACAGTGAACTGTGGTATAGTGACTTTTGACTTCACAAGCCATCAGACTTGTATAGAATCTGCACACTTCACAATCCATCAGACTTGTATAGAATCTGCACACTTCACAAGCCATCAGACTTGTATAGAATCTGTTCACTTCGCAAGCCATCAGACTTGTATAGAATCTGCACACTTCACAAGCCATCAGACTTGTATAGAATCTGCACACTTCGCAAGCCATCAGACTTGTATAGAATCTGTTCACTTCGCAAGCCATCAGACTTGTATAGAATCTGTTCACTTCGCAAGCCATCAGACTTGTATAGAATCTGCACACTTCACAAGAATGTTCGTTGTTGTCTTTCTTATTTCTAGTTATGCTAAACTTAACCTTTTTAACACCAAAGGGTAATGAAACATTCACACACAAATATAATTTTTTTTCAGATTATTGCCCAAGCTCTGTAGGCAATAGAAAATTATGTGAATTGGGTAAAATATTAATAAGTTATCAACATTTTGGCAGGAAAGGTTACATCATTCAAAAGTCACTTGGTTTAATTTAAACAAATTGATATTACAGGGTATTAAATTCAATGCTTTGTGAAGAAAACAAAAAATTAAATCAATTTGACTATTATCAGCAAAATTAAAACACAGCTAATAATTATGCCCACATAAGAAAAGTAACTGTTAAGAAATTATTCCAAAGTTTTTATTTTATGTTGTTTCTGATGATTGCACATTCCTAGATACTTTATGCATTTATTATTAATAAACTTGTGAATAGACTAACTCCCTTTATTCCCTTTGTGCATCATAATATTTTGAAGCACAGGAAAAAAAAAGTGTAATAAAGAAATATTTTGTGGATCCATTCACATGTATGCAGTAATTTTAACACTAGAAACAATTGCGGTAATAAAACCCTGAAAACGCTTTTCTACATGGAATTTGACAGAAAAAAATGATATTTATATCATCAGAACTCAAGAAGCTCTCTACGGATTCAGAATTTTGCATTTAAACTTTGGTGTCATCGCAACCCTGACCTCGCAAGGTGGAATTTCATAGATCTTAATTATTAAAGTGCTGAATATCCCCCTCAACACTCGCTTTTATTGACAGCTTTTCTAATTTACAACTACAGAAGATATAACAAGATGATAACAGGAATCAAAATTTGATAAGAAATACTGCCCCCATGAGGCCACTTCAGTACAGTTTAATTTTGCATTCACATGTTGTATTCCTTGTCCCATATAAATGCATGCTGACAAATTGACTTCATTATTAGTTGTCAATTTCTTACCTAGACAGTAACTACAAAAATGATGCAATTATAATTGCATAAACATTTCCTTACATAAAAGCTTTACAACTAAGAAATATATGAGTGAATCGTCAATGTCAGTCTAACGTAATGCATTCGTATACATGCAGTGAAACTATGTCAGCCACTGTTCAGTTCCACTCAGTAGTATCAGCTACTGTTCAGTTTAACTCAACATTCCTTTACAGATGCAGATCTCCAACTCTTATTTTTATCTTTTTTCATTGCTACAGTGCAGTTTTGAAAAAAAAAAAAAAAACATCTGTGAAGTAACAAAATTACGTCAAATTACTTTGATGCCAGACTACAGCTGCAGTCTGCTTGCATACATGCTGAATATCAAAGCTGATGAAATAGAGTACATGTATGTATTCACAAACCTAAAAGACGCACATGATTTGCTAGCAAGCCCACCAATATCTTGAGCTACACCTTGGGGCATGTCTGGTAATAAAGAAGCTTCTTGTACGCTGTGACGTTAACCACTTAGTGAAGAACATAGAATCTTGATACTGTTTTAGAGCACCCGAGGGAGACTAAGTTGCAAGTTAGGAATACAAGCAGCCATCCCCAACCCAAATTAACTATTAATTCTCATTACTATGAGCTTAAGCCTTCTAATTTAGCATGAATTTCTCATCAAAAATTCACTCAATTCATATTGGAATATTTCCAGACAGTGTCAAGTTAATTTCTTTATCAGGAGAATACAGCATGCTTGCAACACACCTCGTTACTGAAGACCAGGTACCGTACTGTTAAATCCAGCACTTTAAGGGAATCACTTGGAAGCGTAATTAAATTACGGTGCTCAATTTCCCAACAATCAAGAAATGTTCATATGATTCCGACCTTTTTGATACCACGGCGTAATTTCAGGATACTGTATCTGGTTATTGTTTGCCGCATGGGAATTAGAAATCCAATCAAAAGTGAGTGCCTCGCAGTAGGAATTTGATTCACAGCGATCACCAAGTGGGGAACATTTTTTTTTGATATATTCACAAAATTTTTACAATCGATTAGTCGCATGGAATGAGTTCATAATTATAGCTCAAGTGAAAAGACTTTTTTTTCTTCCAATTAGCTACCAGTACAGCCTGTGATATGTAAACTACCGGTAACAGTTTTGTTCATCATTGCCTTCGAGCAGATTTTTAAAAAGAAATACTGTGGGTTTTAACTGTGGGTTTCAATTCAGGAAGCAAAGAGGGGAGTCTAACATGTTTCAACAATTTTTTTCTCATGCTTGCTCAAAAATAGCAGCCATTTTAATGAAAAACTTACTAAAACTATGAATTTGAAATCAAGGCTGCTTATCCCCTTTTTTTACAAGATGTATAGATGTGTCAAGTTCATATTTGAAGTAGTCAGCTGTCATTAAAAAATATCAGACTTCCTTTTTCAGACTTTGACTATAGAACGAAATTTCCCAAAAGTGATTCTGTCAAATTTTACACTACTGAGAAAGTTACTTAGAATATTCATGTATGTGCAATGCATTATGGGAGATAATTTCAACAATGGAAAACAATGGGAAAACAGCACACAGGGAAATTAATATAAAATTAAATGTCAATTTTCTCAATCATTTTTAA